TTCTCGAATCTCACTTCAACAGTCGGCAGATTAATTCCAACTCTACAAATCAAATTTCAGATCAATCGAAAATCGAACGAAAAAATGAATCACGATTTCGTTCTTAATAACTTTACCGATCGATTCGATCTCTAAGTTTCTTCAAGAACTTCTCGTTATCTTCCTCTGCGACCTTGAAGGTACTTTCCATGAACATCCGCCGATCATCCATGTCGAGCCTCCGAACGTCTACCTGTTTGTGCAGAATGGCCTGCGATTGGCTGCTTCCGATTTCGCCGGATTCGGTGAAGGATTTGAAGATGCTTGTTCTTAATCGGTCGTAGGTTGGAAGTTTCTCTATCGCCGCCCATCGCAAAGCCTCTTCGTCTTCTTCGGCATGGCTAAGCCTTCTCGAATTTCTGCCGCCGGACAACACGTACTCGATGCTCCGGCCACTTCTTTGCCTAATGCTCCGGCTCCGGCTCCGGCTCCGGCTCCCCATTTTCCCCTTCTCTAGTTCTTCCATTTTCACTTTCTCTTCTCCTCTTTGTAGTCTGATGATTTGTTAAGCTAACTCCCTATATTTATAGCGTTTCTCGCCTCTGCCGTCATTTTGCATATTTTCAATTTTTTTTTTTATTATTATTATTTCCATAACACAACATATCAATTTTTTTAAAATATATAAACAAAAAAAAATTACTTAAATGAACAATAAAAATAATAATAATAATAATAATCATTTTCGTTATCAAAATGACTAAAACGACCTTTATTATTATTTTTTTTAAATATAATAATAATTAATAGGGAGAAATTTTTCTTGATTTACTGTCAAACGGAAATTCTCCACTTTGTTCGGAACATGTCTTTATAAGACCTCGATCCTACGTTAATAATAAATAAATATTATTCAATAAAATTACCATTTTTTAGATGTGACATTAAAAATTTATTAAATAAACTTTATGTTAGGCACAACCTATTTTTAGGAAGAAAAAAGAAAATGAGACTTCCATAAATATTTTTGTTTGAAACTAGTAGTTTGAATTAAAGAAGCATTAGGGTTGGGATGATTAATTATTATTATTATTATTATTATTATTTAATGTTATTATTCTATAAAAAACAAATCACTATAAAGTTTAGGAATAACTTCCTTCTTTAGTCACTCCCACCGTCAAAATTTAATCCACAATTTCCAATATGTTTTTTTTTCTATTTATAAACAATGGCCTAAATATTTCTCCTAAGAAATTTTCAAAAATTGTAATAATAATTTTGATCGGATTTAAAATGAAATTAAGTGTAAATGGCTACGAATCAATTCTAAAATTTGATTTATTAAAAAAAAAACTAAATATATATATATATATATTTGTTATTTTTACAATTATTGTATTTTTTGTCGGTTGAGGATAGTAGATTGCCTCTATATAATTTATAGGGTTTTAAAATTTATGTCCCATATTTTTTAATTTAATAACAAAAACATTATATTTAACCGAATTTAAATTTATAGTTTTTTTCATCCTATATATTTTAATGTCATTATTATGTTAAATTATTATTAAAATTTTAAAAAATATATTTTTAGACGTGTGTATATAAATTTTTAATCTTGATAAACTTCTATAACATTTTTATTTTATGTTTAATTAATTTATTGCATATAACATTTTTTTTAATTATTAAATTAGACATGGAATGATTCTAAATTTTAAAATTTACATAAAATATTTATTAAACTCAAAATTGGAGTAAATTAAAAAATTAAGTACTTATTACAAAATTGCAATAACTATTTAATTTTAATTTTTTTAAAATTAAACTTATCAACCTATGTTTTAAAAAATTAATATTAAATTACAACTTTTAAATTAATATTAATATTTTTTAATTCAACGATAAATTTCATGGTAGTTTTGTAATTTTTGTAATTTCTAAAATAAATTAATTAAGTTAGTAAAACCTTAATATGACGACATAATTTGTTTAGCTAGTTTTGCAAAACTCCAACAGCCAAATATCATAATTAATTAGCTAGTTTAATTTATTAATTTATAATTATGATTATTAATAATTGATGAATAATCATATAAAGGAAACGAGGATATTTTGGATTTTAAATAAAGTTTAAGAAAAATTGGATTAATATTGCCTTAATATAATAAATATTTAAAAATTAAAATCCTATGGTAATTAATGAAAATAGAAAGTCAAATAAAATAATTGATGAATGACGTCATTCAATTATCAATTTGAAATATATAAGGAACATTAATGACAAATTAATTTGAGTAAAATAATATTGACATTACAAGTTGAAAATATCAAACCTAGGTAGCCTTTTCTTTTTCTTTTATTAATGTAACATTTTTTTATTGTTGTTTTTTAAAATAGTTTAACCACTCCTTCATTAATTATATTATAAATTTAGTTGTTTGACTTTTTCCTTATTTATCTAATATATTTATTTTTTAAAGAATTGATTTATTAAATGTAATAAATATGTTAAAAACTTTTATAAATATGATTTACAACAAAAAAAAAAAAAAAAAAAAAAAAAAAAA